TTAGAATTTTAAATTTATTTTTTTCAAAATTTTATTTTTTATATTTTATATGTTAGAAATCTATATTTTTATTTTTTAGAATTTTTAATTTTAGATTTATTTAAAATAAAATTTTATTCAAACCCTTGTTTTTTTTTATTTTATTTTATATTTCGAGTGTTTTACAATTTTCACTTAAAACACGCAAAATGATAATATGTTATAAATTTAACGTTGTTTTCGAAAATGCAAAAGCATACACATTTTCTGTACTTTTGAAAACTGAAAACAACAAATCAAATGTGCAAACAGAGCTGGGAAATTATTACAATGCAGATGAAGTTGCCAGTTGGCATAATAAATAGACAATTTGAATGAGCTCAGTGTATGTTGCCTATGTAATATTTCTCCTCTTTAATATAAATTAATTAGTTTTGCTCAGTGCGCGAATGTAGACATTTTTGTAGAAATCAGACAAACAATTGAAGAAGATTTTATTTCTATTTAATCTCATCTTCCCTTTTTAGAAGTGAGGACTGCATCCATATATATACAGACGTAATGGTCCAAAAGAAAAGCAACTGAGAGAGAGAGAGAGAGAGAGAGAGAGAGAGCATAACAGAAAGCAACGGATTCAAAAAACAAAAAACGTAAAAACAGAAAACACGATTTAAAACTAAAAACTGTTGGCCGGTTCTTCTTTATGGATAAGACCCGGTTCATCCTTCTCTATTTTCTTCATCCCCCCCTCAAGTTGGAAGTGGTGAAGATCACCCAAGCCCAACTTGGAAAGAAGACTGGTAAATTGGGGAGCAGCAAGAGCCTTGGTGAATAAATCCGCAAACTGAAGAGATGAAGGAACGAATTTTGGCAAGATGAGGCCAGACTTATACTGATTTCGAACAACATGACAATCAATATCCAAATGCTTGGTACGTTCATGAAAGACTGGGTTAGCGGTGATGTGTAAGGCTGCCTTGTTATCACACCATAAAGGAATAGGTGTGAGTAATGGGATAAAAAGATCCTTCAAAATATATGTAATCCACTGCAATTCACAAACTGTGCTGCCCAAACTCCTATATTCTGCTTCAGCTGACGAACGGGACACAGTGGTTTGCTTCTTAGTTTTCCAAGAGACCAATGCGGAGCCAAGGAAAATGCAGTAGCCCG